CCCACCACACCACACGACCACGCCAGCCGGATCTACTCCAGAAGACGTATGTCCCGGAGTTATAAAGGCGGCCGCCCCAGCAGCGATGTGGTTCCTCAGACATTCAGGGCGCGTGCGACCGAGACGAGCTGCTGGCGGGGCGGGGCGAGGCGGGGCGTGGCAGCCGGCTGACGGCCTGTGACGCGGCTGCTCGGGAAAAAATAATGTGCCCCTGCCCCGCTCCATGTCGATTTGGAGCGACAACATTTACATTTTCGATTCGATCGTGTTTTATTCGCAAGCGGTGGCCTTTTCTAGGCGACTGCTCTTAAGTGCACAGAATTCTTGGGCTTTCATTGGAAGAAAAGAACTCATAGCCGCTGCCGCTCACGACCAAATGTCGAATTTCACTATAACAATTCTAGGCGAGTGACAGCTATGCCCTTTTTACGTATTGTGTATAGTAAATAAGCGTAAACCAATAAAAAATGGTTTTAAACATAGCGATAATAAAAAAGAAGTGGTGCTAGTGCCTTGACCAAACAAATATCAAGTTAATAATCGAACGAAAAAAACTTCTCGCAGGGCGCAGGGGGGACGCTGCGCGCTTACCTCACATGTGTAGTTTTATACGAGCACCACGTCGTTAAGTAAGTTGTCTCGTTGACGAAGTGACGAGCAGGAGCGTGTAATCCAAAGAGTCAGGCACTCGCCGTTTGTCGGCACTCGCTCGGGCCGAAGGACGTCGCGCCGCGCGGAGGCGGCGGTGCGAGTGCGTGGCCGTCCACCCCTTCTCCCTCCCCTGTGTGCACGGGGCGCGCGCTCGGAGAGGACTGGCGGCGCCCGGCGGGTGCGTCCCGCCAGAGCCGCGCCTGGGCCGAGGGAGGCTGTGCCGGGACCGGCGCGCCGCCGTCAGGGCCGTCGGGGCCGTCGGGGCCGTCGGGCAGGCGGAGCGCTCTCTCTCTCTCTCTCTCTCTCTCTCTCTCTCTCTCTCTCTCTCTCCCCCTGTGTCTCTCTCCCTGCGTCTCTCTCTCTCACTCCCTCCCTCCGCTCCACACTCGCTATCTCTCGCGTGTAACTTCTGCTGTGACTGGTGGCACGACGACGCAAAGAGCAGCATCGTCGTTCTTCTCCGTCCGTACAACATTACACCGACTGGCTCCCACGTAGTTAGTTTCCACGTTGCGTTGCGTGGCGTGGCGTTGGCGGGGTGCCGTCCGTCTTACTTCCTCACGCAGGACCCGCCCGCCCCGCCGGGCAAGTAGAAACAAAGTAACTCCCGCGGCCAAACTTGGGGATTTTGTAAACAAGCATGGCCTGCGGGAGCATCCTGCTATTTTTTTTATTTTTTTTGCCCTCTCCTGTTTTTCTCTTTCTCCCTCTCTCCATTTCCTTGTATTACGTTTTTACCGTCCAAAAAGAAGTCTAAAAACAAAGTGGTGTTAGTACATGAAATTGGTTCAGATTCCCTACCGCCCCCGAAACACGGAGGAATTAATTAAAAGGAGCACGCTTGCCGCGCGCTTCCTCTGTTTCGTAACCCTCGCCCGTTTGCCCCAAAATTGGTTTCGTAGTTCTTTATCCTGCGTTTAACTGACAATACTGTGCAACTTTTTTTTTTTTTTTTTTTTTTTGGCCGGTGATGACTTTTGCTCGCAAATAAAGCGAAAACACAAACACGGCAAGAGTTTTGTTTGTGTTTCGTCCGCGAGAGAGTGACTGTTGTACTGGCTGCTTCTACAACGACGCGGAGCAGCTCCATTGTGCTCCCCTGCAGGCCCCGCCGTCAGGCCCGGCGCCTGCCAGACAAATGACTGACCTCTGGGGCCGTCGGGGCGCCGCGGCACAGCGGCAGAGACATGGCAGGGAAATGTACTACCTGCTGCTGTTATTATCACGGCTGCTGCTTCCTTGCTGATAAAACGAGCGCAGAACAAAGGCTTTCGGAAACAAAAACAAAATGTTCCTCTTTCTTTTATTTTTGGCGAGGAACTACGGCACAGCGGTGATGACCCTCACAGTCGCCTCGGGCGGGCAGTTAGTAGTGTGGGGAGCGCCTGGCACCCCGGGGATAGGCAGTCCCGTTACGCACGTCGGCCCGCGGGTCGCCTACCGCTCGTCCGACAGGCGCTCGCACCGCTGCATGAAGGAAAACAAATTGGAGAAATCTAGATGCCTTTCTTCACACGGCTGTGCCCACTTTCCCTTGTTACGCAAGCTGGCCCTTTGCACAGCAAAAACACGCCTTTGAGACTGTTCATTTCGTTGCGTCACCGCCGTCAAAGGACTTCCCGAATTGTAATGGAAAGCCCCGCCCCCCTATCTCGCTGAGGCGGCAAATGACAGACTGTCATGGAGGGTCTTTTGGCTGTTTTTCTGCATAGTAGTTTTGCTTCAAAGTCAAAAGGCACAAATGAATCAGGCATCGAAAATTGCGCTTTCCGGAGTTGTTTTCATACATCAACTTTGAAGAGTTAACATCATGGTTTTTCTCGCTGACTCGGCACTTCATTCTGATTCTCGCCGCCTCTGAAAATGGGGTGAGGTTTGTGGGAGGGGCTTCAATCAACGCGGTGGTAGCATAAACGACAGTTATTTTTTTTTAAAAAGGATTTTTTTTCCGCTTTTGTGGCTGTTTCAATATAGCGAGTCCCTCGCCCCCTCCTCCTTAGTCGGTGGCGCGAAAGCCTCACCGTCAGAGATCTTTCGTGGTAAATAAACCCATTTGTGAGTCGTCAGCGAGACGCTCGCTCCTCTGCTCGAGAGACGCCGCGCCGCCGACGATGAGGTTCTCCTCTCCCCGCCTCCCCCCTCCCTCTTTTCCTACCCCCACCCGGACCCCTGCCGTCGCTCGCCTCTCTCTCTCCTTACCAAATGCAATCACAGTCGTTTACGACTCAGTGTACCCTGTCACTCTGTCCTTAGTCCCGGACACTTTTAGGAGAGGGATACTAACAACGGCACGTTTTAGCGTTCTACTCTTTCTCTAAGACTTAAAGTACTTGGTCGGTGTTATTTGAGAGAGGGTTAGGGTGGGGGAGG